AGTATCTAGACTACTTAAATTGTTTTAAACATTAAAGTAACATATTCTAATGGTATAAACTGAACGATTTAATTATTTAATTACTAAATGTAAATTTAATTGACAATCTTTTAAATAAATAAATGTTTATTCGACGCGTCTAACAATAAGACCACTGTAAAACTAACAAACAGTTAAATGACAATTATACCTCTACAAGCATAGTAGATGAGAAGAAGATGCAACTATTTTTTATTATTATTGGTGAGATATTTATAAAGTGTAAATTAGGAAGCGTGAAGTTTATTCAAATTTATCAAAGATTTCATAACTTTTCTCTGATAATTATGAGAACTGACAACAAGTACTTTTGAGCGGCAGCGTATATTCATGGTTCGCGAAAAGCAAGGTAAAACTAAAGACAACCTTGCGTTAGAGGAAAGAATTATTAATTCCAAGCACATTGGGAGAAACCAAAATTGTTGTCTACGAAGTCTTTGTCTCTCCTTTTCAAGTTTCTGGCGGAATGATAGACAGCGTGACGTCGCAGCGACGGGGATCAACGCAAAGCGACACAAGTGCCTTGGTCAGTAGTCTAACGAGGGATCCTTCGCAATCTCCGAGTGCTGTTAGCACAACTGCCAATACTCGTGACCTCTCTCCGAGCCCGAGTTGTAGCTCTTTACACATGAGATCCGAGGGTAGTATAGCTAGTCCACCTGACACTCCGAAACAAGAAGCTGGAGTAAGTAAAGAAGCGTACTCGTTTATTCTGGTTTAACAAAAACCACAAAAACCGGGATTTCAAAGATGATTTGCGAGTCATTTGCTTTTGTCGAAGGATTCTCAAGAAAGTCCGAAGAAGGTTTCCCAAGCGCAAACGCAGACGAGTCCGGAGAGCGCGACTACAGCTATGAAGGGACACTTCAGTATCGGTTCCATCGGACCAAAAGACGGAGTGAAGTTAACCAGAAGGGATCACACGAAAGTAGTGAAAACCAGAACGAAACGCACCATGTCTCCGAGCAACGCTCAACAGAGCGCGAGCACGAGCCGAACGTTGAATCTGAGCAAAGACAAGGTGAAAGAAGCGATCAGCCCGTCGGTGGCCGAGTGTTTGCGAGCGGTGTTTGCAGCGTTCCTCTGGCACGAAGGGATTGTGCACGACGCGATGGCTTGTGCCAGTTTCCTCAAGTTTCATCCTAGTTTACCGAAGCAGGGCGCGCTTGTCGTGACCAGGCAAACAGTGATACAATCGACGGACAAACAGAAGCAAGAGCAGAAAGCCAGGCAAAGACACTCGGTCGAGGTGATCAACGCTGGCAACTACTTATATATACAGCCGAGCACGGTCGAAGCTTTGACACGGTCCGCCGCGAATGCCAATGCAAACAGAAATAGAAAGAAGCAGAAAACAGTCATCAAAGAGGAGGTCCAGGAAAGCGGGAAGCTGGACTCTTTGCCAGAATTTCAAACGGTCGCGGTGCTGCCGCCGGCTTTGAAGAGTCTTGTGTTCTTGTGGGAGGAACTTAGCACAAATTGCCTTCAGACGATACAGCAACGCTCGGTGTTGCCAAGCCCGATATCGCAGATACAGACGATGAAGTTGGGGAAACGGCCGGAGAAACGACCGCGTGAAGATAAACTGAAGGACCGCGAGAAGAAAAGCAGCAGAAAGAAGAAGGAATGGAAACCAGTCGGTAGAGGGAATGGATCCGAGGTACTCGGTGGCATAGAACGAGAAACGATTTGCGAACTGTGCGGCTTGATGTTTCCTCATCCGGTGACGTATCACATGAAAATGATGCATCCCGGTTGCGGATGGCACGCAGGAGGGAAAGGCTACAACAGTGGAGGGAACTATTGCATCGGTTGGGCGGGCAATTGCGGCGATGGCGGAGTTGGTGGAAGTTCGTGGTATCTTATCTGTGATACGTGTCGTGACAAATATCTGCGAGCGCGGAAGCTCAAGCTCGCGAAGAAGTTCTTGACTGGGATGACGAAGAAGAAGAACGGCTCTTCCAAAATCGTGTCGCCAGTTAGTAGTCCTAACGAAAGCGAGACGCACATAATCATGAAGAACAACGCTATGTTTCTCTTAGACTTGGCTAGCGCGTCCGGATTGAACATTCCAAAGCAACAGAGACGGCCATCGCAGACGTTGTCGTCTGTGGCAGAAAATTACAGTCCTCCAGAGGCAGCTGGACCATTCCCACCGACTGGACCCTTCCAATGTTTGCAAGCTTTAGGAGTTCATCATTCGCAGAGTCACGACGAAAGATACTACGAGGAGACTTTAAGACGTCAAAACGGGCAACAGGCTGCCTACGATGGAAGCAACGTCATGGCTAATACTACGAATGGAAGGGTAGGAAATTTCTTGTTTTTCTTTTAATCTAACTTTTCTTGTTGACTATTAACCACGTATTATTCTGTAGCCTTTGTCGGAATGTCCTATAAGTGACAGTGACAGCGAAAGTGGGAAAGGCCGTGGAATATTCCATCGATCTGTATCGATGTCTACTGGTGCTCCGTGGACACGAAATTCGAACGACGGCAGAGTCGTCATTATGCGAAAACGAAACAACAGTAGCAGCGAAATGAATACTGGTATGTGAACAACAGAATTGCAGTATTAAATTAATGATGCTAAAAATATTCCCTGTTTCACTGTAGATGCCGGATCGTCTCTTTTATGCTATCCTTCTGCCGCGCTACAGAAGTTAGTACCATCGATGAACCAATCGGCAATTGTCTCGACGAGTCAAGATGAAGTCACGAATAACGACAGAATAGAAATTCTCATGAGACCTGTGATGTTGTTTGTCCTGCAACAACATAACTTGCAACATCTGCAACTTGCAATGAAGCAGGCGCTAAGACGTGCTGCTTGCAGAGTTTACGCGATGCAAGCATTAAATTGGCTTCTAAGGAGTGTGACACAGCCTATGTGCCTCCATGATTTACTATGGTGGTTCGTTGCCTCTCTGACACCTACAGTGCCGCCTGACGTTCTAGATGCGACTAATGAAGATAATAAAACCGATAAAAAGGATGACCATGTAAGTATACTGATTGGTTAATACTGATGCTACAATCATGTTTTGTTCTGTAACTGTTTTTTATAATTTCTGTACTGAATACATTGAAGTTATCAAGCTCATTAATCTCTTTCATAAACATAAATAATCTTTTGTCACGGAGCAACTAATTATATTTTTATTTACTTTACAATGATTACTGTATAATTACTTTCTTTTAAACGAATGATTTTATATTTCTATTTTAAATGTATGTAACACGAGTATATTGTCATAGCAGTGTACTTTATTTTTCAGGAAATGATCGGCGTATGCGAGCATCCCTTAAGCGATCTCGTCATAGCAGGTGAAGCTGTTAATCCATTACCAACCGTGTTTCATACTTTGTTGCAAACTATAGCGGACTTGATGCTTTTACCACCACCTGGTACGTGTATTGTACTACCGGCAATATTCATCGATATTCTCTATGGAAAATTTTAAATTTTAATGGATTAATTTCTAGGTTCTCCTTTGCAACAAGCTGCCATTCGATGCTGGGGTATCAAGTTCACACCCGCGGATCACATGTTCCTTCACAGAAGTCACGTTTTCAGTAATATCAGTAAAATACTCTCCAGATCCGAGGAGGAAGAAGACGTTACAATGAGCATGCACGAAAGCCATCAATCGATTCATTCTCAACAAGTCAGCAGCTGCGTGGAAGTTTTGAAGGATTTAACTTGCGGCGTTGAAATTAAAGCCTCGAGTAGACAAGCTATGATAGGTAGTTTGACTGATAATTCGACGGAGACTTTCTGGGAATCCGGTGACGAAGATCGAAACAAGACTAAGACGATCATCATCATTTGCGGTGCTCATTCGCTTCCCCGGATAGTGTACATTCACATAGATAATTGTCGTGACTTAACGGTGAGTTTCGTCATGAATTCTAACTCTTTCACGAATGTCTCTTTGTACTCATTATACTTATGTTACAGCACAAAGTGTCTAGTGTTACGTTCCAATCGGGTAATAATGTAGATGAGATGATCAAATTGAGAACTGTGGAGGTTGAAAGTCGATTTGCCGGTTGGATTAACTGTCCGATTATTGGTATAATCATCATATTACATATATTTCAATATAATCGTTGTTGTATTTGTTATTTTACTATTTTGCTATTGTATTTTCAATTTTTAATGTTATTTTATTTTATAGATCCACGTCACGTTATTGTTGGTCTTAAATTGAAAGGCCCAGACAATTCATTGCGAGTGCGACAAATACGAATCTTAGGCGAAATCGAGGGTGAATCTTTGAAAATTGGCAAACAGTTGAGTGCACAAACGATTCAGCAAAGAAATTGCGAAGCAGAAACGTTAAAAGTGTTCCGTTTAATTACATCTCAAGTACGTTAACTACGTACCATATTTAATTTATATATAATTTATATATTTTAAATGATTAATTTATGCTTCTCCGTTCGTCAGGTATTTGGCAAACTTATACAAGGTGAGCAACAGCAACAGCAAACAGACACTACGGAAGGAACTAACGAAGACTTGGAGGATAGCAACGATCTCCGCGAGCACATGGTTGGAATTTTGTTCAGCAGAAACAATTTGACACATTTACAGAAACAAGTTTGTACACATATTGTTCAAGCAATTCAGAAAGAAACTATTCGGCTGAGAGAAGAGTGGGAAACGTTATTATGTTCTCCAACTCCTGCTAACAGTTTGTTGAGCGATAATAGTGATCTGCCTAAAGCAGCTGATACCTATTGCTTTGAAATGCTATCCATGGTGCTAGCCTTGAGTGGTAGTTCAGTAGGACAGTATTATTTGTCACATCAGTACGGATTGTTGAAAGATTTGTTGAGTTTGTTACATACTGGATCGGCAAGAGTGCAACGTCAAGTATGTAACTCGTTTCTTCTACATCTCGACATTTACGTTTGCATTATGTCTTCTAATGTTAACGTTTAATCATTTAGGTAACAGCTTTGTTGAAGAGAATTTTACCAGAAATTAAGCCAGAAATACTAGCTAGTGTCATCAATGTCAAACGATTACCACCGACTGATTTTAGTATTATATCCGCGGCAAATAATGATTTTTCACCGAGTGCTGAATTTGACGAACATTCCCCGGGGATTCTCGACGTTTTCTTAAGTTGTATTGCTAAGGCGCTGTCAGTTCAAGTTAAAGTAAAGGGGAAAGAAAACGGTAAAGCTTTGCAGACTGTTTCGTTAGCTACTAGTATTCATCCAAAAAGTCAAGTCGGAGCAAGATGGTGGTTGAGAGGATGTATGACTCGGAAATTAGCAGAAGTGATTATTCAACTTTTGAAAGATATGGCATCGGTACGTATTGATCGGTTTACCGATGAACTATTCAGTTCAATGTTTATTATTTACATTTTCGCAGGGAAAATTGTCTGAAGCTTGGGCGTCAGTGACTAAAGCAGCAATAGCGGAAAATATTCTAAATCTTACCAGATTGGACGAGAAGAGCCGTGACCCAGCTGAATGTCTGAAAACTCCAACATTGTGGCTTGCTCTCTCTTCCTTGTGTGTATTGGATTCCGATCATGTTGAGAGATTGTCCTCCGGTCAATGGAGCGGTGCTGAGGGACAACCACCACCACCTAGGGTAAGAGTATTGAAACAATCTTCAATAAATTGAATACTTAATATATATAAATGTACACTAATAATGATAAAATATACATAATATATTTAATATTTTTTTAGCCAACATGCAGTAATCACGATGACGGCGAAACAACAGCAATCATTCAATGCAATGTATGTGGAAACTTATGCGCAGAATGTGATAGAATTTTGCATTTACATAGAAGAACACGAATGCACATAAGACAAGTTTGCAAAGAGGAGGAGGAAGCGATACGCGTAGATCTTCACGAAGGTTGTGGCCGCACGAAATTATTTTGGATTTTGGCTCTAGCTGATAGTAGAACGTTAAAAGCCTTAGTAGAATTTCGAGACGGGTCTCCTAGGAAACCTGTTGGTGCTACATCTGGAATTTGTCGATTTTGTGGTACTACTGGTAATACAGGTTTGCTGGCAGTAGGGAACATATGTGCAGATCACGATTGTCAGGAACACGGTAAAAATGCGTGCAGCAAAGTACACGTATGCGGACACATCTGCGGAGGTGTTCGAAACGAGAGTAGTTGTCTACCCTGTCTACATAGATGTCTACCAGGCAGTGAATTGAAGCAAGATGCTGACGACATGTGCATGATTTGCTTTACCGAAGCTTTGTCTGCTGCGCCTGCGATTCAGTTGCAATGTGGACACGTTTTCCATTTGCATTGCTGTAGACATGTTTTAATGAAGAGATGGGTGGGACCTAGAATAACTTTTGGATTCTCTCTTTGCCCAATTTGTAAAGTTCCGATGGAACATCCTACTTTAGCTGATCAATTGACTAGTATAAAGGAACTTTACGAAGATGTCAGAAGAAAGGCTCTAATGCGGCTAGAATACGAAGGATTGCACAAGTGCGTACAAATTATTTGTACCTAATGTTAGACAGTAGATGAAAGAATATCTGGGATTACATTTCTACACGATTGTTAATTATTATATAGGGTGGAAGCAACATTTGGACCAGGTGGAAGATATCAACAAGATCCTGCTGCATATGCAATGGAACGTTATGCATATTATGTCTGTTACAAGTGTCAAAAGGCCTATTATGGTGGCGAAGCACGATGCGATGCGCAAGTAGGCGGAGAGACATTTGATCCCACAGAATTAGTGTGTGGAGGTTGCAGCGACGTGGCAAGGGCTCAGATGTGTCCGAAGCACGGAGCAGACTTCCTAGAATATAAGTGTCGTTATTGTTGCTCGGTGGCAGTCTTCTTTTGCTTTGGAACTACACACTTCTGTAACCCCTGCCACGACGACTTTCAACGAGTCACCACCATTCCAAAAAGCGAATTGCCTTCGTGTCCTGCTGGTAAGTCTTTGAGCACAATATAATTTTATTGTATGTAATTTGTATTATACAATTATTTTATCAGGACCTAAAGCAAAACAGCTTGAAGGGGACGAATGTCCATTACACGTGAAACATCCACCGACTGGAGAAGAATTCGCGCTTGGCTGTGGCATTTGTCGCAATGCGCATACTTTCTAAAAATCTACAAAACTACCATCACGATGAAAGTGATTGATTCTTGAAACTTTGCTGAACCTTAGCGATGGCAGTATATATTCATATGACTAACCGAATACATAGTTTGGTATAAGCATCCTCATAATTATGAATACGTGTCTTTAAGTGCTATGTGTATATTGATTTTTAAGAATTCTTATAATGATTGCAAAAGTGGAATTGATGCAATATAACGATGCAAAGGAAATCAAATAGACAAAACTGAATCTAGCTACAATCATAAGTGAAGATCCAATGACGCGCGAAACTATATAATATTTGTTAAGTATTACATAAGTCGTTTTTATCGGTAATTATAGAAATTCTTGAAACGCGTAGATGCGGAAGAAAAAAAGCGTGTGTGTACATTAAACTTCCATGCAAAGCTAATTAAAAGAAGCTTGCACACGTGCATAAGTCATACAAAGTGTAGTGATTTTTTGGTAAAGTATTCTAGGTATAAGTGTTTAAAATAATATATAAATAAATATAATATAATTCTCTACGCTAAAAAAATGTATTTAATTATTATCAGCAATGATCCTAATAAATTGTGTACGTAGGTAAATTATGTATGTGAAGGAAGTGTGTTATTTAAAAATCGCGAAGTATACATAAATCAAATAGGAAGAAAGAAAAAAAAATCGAGATCCAAATGAATAATTATAATCCGTGCTATATACATATATACATACATACATACATACATATGTGTGTGTGTGTGTGTGTGTGTGTTAACATTTGCATTATTTAGTATAGTCACGAACTTTGCATTTATCATGTTTTACATTTTTCTTTGTTTTTATACTTTTCCAAAGGAATAGAAGTGCTATCATATCGCAATTATTTATTTATTGAAATGAATCATTGTACTACGTGCGCTGTTTGCGAATCATTGTTTATATTCATATGAAAATGAAATGTGTGAACGATAATTGCGTGTCAAGCGTCGATTGTTATTATTTGTGTTTTGACTTAGTACAGATTAAATGAAAGTAATGATCGTGACGAAAAATATAGTTTTTATTACTCACCTCTAATTTCGTGGCGAACGTGAATAACAGCCGTTATTCGAATATGGCGTCGGGATGATTCGAGAATCAAAATCAGCGCACTTTTCGACTGCTGACTGATCGATCCAAGATGGCGGCGAGCAACAGCGCCCCGACACGGCAGTTTGCCTTAAGCAGTGCGAGGTGTAACGTGTGTGTGTGCGCGCGATCCTGACGTTTTTCGCCTTGATCAACGGTAAGTAGCCTTTATTTACGAGTCGTGCAACAATAGTTATATAATTTCCCAGCCGCGTAAGTTATGTATACTCGTCCATTGAACGGCCTTTGGCGGGAAATGTGTGCTTTGGTGGGAAACGGATCGAGCACAAGCGCTTAGTCGGAGATGATCTCCTACGCACGTTCGTGCCACCCTGCTAGCACTACTGTCAACTCGCTATGTTTATTTTTACCATGAATTGAAGCCAATTACAAGCCGGGCGACGGCTTAATTGAACGAAATTACACGAGTTCTTCCTTCAAACGAGTACTTTCCAGTCACGATTTACGTGAATTTCAACATGTACCGATCGATTCTTCGCGAGAACTTTTGAGAAAAGCAACAGACAGATCAACTGTGTGCAATGTTCTTACGCGCGTAGATTGCTCCATTGACTCACATTCCCGGAATATTTCATCCAAATTAGATTCTGGGAGTGCAGAATCTCCTGCCAAGTTGTCGTCTGCTGTGTCGATACTTAACCTCACTTTGTTCACTTAACACGAAGTGCCGTCAAGTTATAGACATAGACGCGTTCGAGGCTAAGTGGTCCTTGAATTCGGGCAGTCGATATTGTCTATAGAGTGCAATGTCTTTCAGTAACGTTAGAAACGATAAAGCTTTTAATTCGGAGCTTCAACTCGTACTCAACGAGCGTCATTTAAACTCGTCCAAAAATATCCAGAGAGCGACGGACGTCAGTCCGATGCGTTTCAAAATTTTAATATTAACCAACCGCGTCCGATGAATCACAATTGAGATCAGTGTCGTAAACGATAAATTCCTGCGATAAATTATTGTTTCGTGTGGTGAATACAAATGAGGTGAGCTTTGTTTTTCCCGTGTGATCCAACTATCAATAAAAAAAAATATATATATATATATATGCGTCGAATGATGAGACTATTGACCTTTCTGTACATCGTAATGTGTTCATGCCTCGAACACGTCCTGATACGATTTGACGCGTTCGTATCAAAACAGCCGGTCGCTACGACGACCATGGCATTCCAATTGGAAATACGCTACGGTGAGAGACGTTTAGATTCACGCGAAACTGGTTTTAAACACGTGTGCACCACGCGGTCTAATGCATTTCACGCATCTCACGCATTCGAGTGTCGAGCACGCGCCTGTCGCTCACGCTGCAAGTCGTTCTACGCACACACAATCATGCGACAAAGTGCACTTTGTCGGCGACAATGAATGACTCGTTCTCGTCTGCTTCCGTTTTCTCTGGAAATGGCATCACTCGCGCCGGTGAGCCAGCTGGAGATCCGTAAGTAACCTCGGATTACTTTATAGCGTCTTTTATTATAGTTGCTTTTATTTCATTCGATGTAGTCAATGTAATTACATTCCTATAATTTTTCTTTTTTCTTTCGCGTATATATGCCCTTCCATATCCATGCCTGGTCATTTAATCTCACATTGATCATCGCGTTCTTTATGATCGAATGAAAGTGCTATTCAAGAGTATCGCCATCACATTCGCGTTCAATTAATCCGATGACCCGCCTTTTATGAAATCCGAATACCAGTGCTCGATGGTTAACACGACAGTAATCTCTATGATTACTGCGCGGCTTGGGACACCATTACCATCGAAGTTAATATCACCGGTACCCCGGAAAACCAGTTTCAATAAGAAATCATCTTGTCCCGTTATTTTTACTGAATCGTATGCATTGCATCAGTGCCATATATCGTGGCCGGTACATGCACGATGTGCCGAAAACTTACGTAGAACTTTCTTCGTTTTTCACCGAAATCGACGTTAAATTTGAACATTATTAAACACACGTCTGCCGTGGATTTTAATTTATCTGATTATACGATGAGTTTAAGGCAATATTTATTGAACACTCTCTTTCCTTATTTTACGTACAAGATGACCATTTGCATGTGCCAAAAAGTATCAAGATTCTTTTTTTTTTTTTTTTTTTTTT